TAATACCCCCCCAGTACCCCACCGAGCGTCTGCAAATCTGCCTCTGAGGCTAATCATGCAGGTTATGGGATGTGGGCTTTTATCAGAACAATTGCCCAACGGGACACCAAACCGCCCCCCCCCCCCCCCCCTTGGCGAAACACTTAACCTGGATTATTTGAGAGAGACAAAGAATGTAAGAACAGCATAATACTGCAATTAGTGCTGTAAGTTGTATAGGTTACACTGGAAAGTTGGTTATAGGAAGTGGAAATTATTATTAATATAACTGTAAAAATAATAATGAATACATTATTATTAGAAGAAGATGAAGAATAAGTAGAAGGAAAAAGAAGACAAAGAATTGCCCTGGAAAAGTAGTTAGAGAACATGGAAGGATGGGTGTAGTATTGATAATAACTCTACTCGGTAAAATTACCACAGACACCCAGGGAGAGGGAAGGAATATGGCCTCTGCTATCGACACAGGAGTGGAGATGGGTCCCTGAAAGAGTGGGGCAGAATGAGAGCACAGCAGGCTCCTCACCTGACCTTGCCCTGCCCCCAATAGCCACGCCCCTGGCCCAGGAAGGCCACGCCCCTGGCCCAGGAAGGCCACGCCCCTGGCCCAGGAAGGCCACGCCCCTGGCCCAGGAAGGCCACGCCCCCTCATATCTCCAAGTCAGTTTCTCACAGCATCTCAGCACTGCATGTTCTCTGTGTCCTTCTTCTCACAGCCTTTCACTGCTGGGGATAAGCATCTACTCTTATGGGGCAGCGGGGACAGCAGCGATGCCTTTCTGTGGGGTGGCGGGGGTTGGGCAGAGTCCCACTAACCACCTTAATTGCATCATTTGCTGTCATGCACCTGGGCTAATTTCATGGGTGCTTTTGGCTCTGCAGCTAATAGCTGCCACTCTCTTATTTTCATTTCTATTTTAATAATAATATTTTCCACTTTTTTGTCATTTCCCTGTGAACATGTGGCTTGGGGCTAGCTTGGCATTTTGCTGTTTTTTTCTTATTATTCTAATTGTTTACTCATGTGATGCCTTGGTGCAATATTTTTTGCAGCTTTTATCCTTTTATGACTATTTTAGCAGAAGATATTTAACTTAAGCATCAGGCTCTAAGGTACAACAGCAAGAAAATCAACACTTGGGAGAGCTCTCCACGATGTCCCTCAAAACGAAAACACTATTGGTTTATGGGCTTGCCATAAAGATGCGGGTCCCGTTGGGGAACAGTCCCTGGTGAATGAGACGTGTTAAGGCAGACTGGAGTGTGTGTGTGTGTGTGTGTGTGTGTGTGTGTGTGTGTGTGTGTGTGAGGCTAGAGGGAGTTTTCTTGGTCTGCCCACCTTACAGTCGGCATGGTGACAGCAGCCTCACAGCAATGGTGTGTGTTCGATAGTTTCAAAGTTACATCCACTATAAATCAGCTGCCACAACTGGATGCTCTTTCCTCCCAAATGGAGGCCCGCTTTGCTTCCCCGTTTTCTGCTGCTGGCTTCTGGTCTCCCGGCTCCTCTTGGGGGCCGTATGTGAGGCTGGCTGGCAGCAGCTGTCTGTGCCTTGTGAATGTGTAAAATCATGAGCCGCTCGCGTTCTTTATCAGTATCATTACTATGATTATTGTATGTAATTTCCGTGATTGTTTAAATGGCTCCTTACCACCCTTCTGTAAACATTGCTGCTGCCATAGTTCCTACTCTTGCCGCAAGCTTGCGGCTGCATTATCATAATTATTTGTTGCCATTCGCTCTGCTCCCACTTTGCATCAACAAGGCATATGAAAAAGCTGGAGGGGAGGGGGGACTGGCAGATTTGGTGTAGGGAGAAAGAGAGGGTGAAACACGAAGAAAATGAGGTGTGGGGGACAGCGACAGAGTGACATCTGTTTTCACCGTTGTTGGAGGGTGGTTGGGTTTGTCACAGAGGAATATGGGGCATTTGTGACCGCTGCAGTCTCAGCCAGTGAGCTCATATCTCTTTAAATTTTGTTACCTGCCACCATAGGATGTGTCCCAGACTCACCCTGTGCACCGCGCTCCTCAGCTCTTCCAGAAACACCTCCTCAGGCTTGCTGGCTCTTCCCTCTCCGAGGTCGCTACCCCCTCACTTTATAGCATTTCCCATGAATCGCTCATAAACAGGCCCCGTAAATAAGACTGGAGTTTCACATCCCCCCACACTAATTCCCCTAAAGAAAAACAAATTATAATATGGCTTCTCCCACTAAAGGAAAGGAAGCAGTCTGTCTCAGAAGGATGAGGCCAAAGTCTGCAGCACCTCCCTAAGATGAAAAGGGAGCAGGCTGTCCCAAAGGGAGGAGAATATCCCAGCAGGTTCTACGAAGTGTGCAGTATGCCTCAAAGAATGAGGTGAAAAGGAGCAGTTTGTTCCGCAAGGTTGCAGGTGTGCAGTCTGTCCCAATGGGAAAAATAAAGTTTCTCAAAAAAAGAGGTGAAGGGGTCTGTAATGCGAAGGGAGTAGTCTGTCCTAAGGTGTAATGCGAAGGGAGCTGTCTGTCCTAAGGTGTAATGCGAAGGGAGCTGTCTGTCCTAAGGTGTAATGCGAAGGGAGCAGTCTGTCCTAAGGTGTAATGCGAAGGGAGCAGTCTGTCCTAAGGTGTAATGCGAAGGGAGCAGTCTGTCCTAAGGTGTAATGCGAAGGGAG